TTACTTTTCAATATAAGAATGTGTGTGTTGTGGGGGGTGGTGTGTGTGTTGGGGGGTGATGTGTGTGTGTGTGTGTGTGTGTTGTGGGGGGTGGTGTGTGTGATGTGTGTGTTGTGGGGGGTGATGTGTGTGTTGGGGGGTGATGTGTGTGTGTTGCGGGGTCTGCACACGTGTAATGGTATCTGGAGGTTCTGTTTTGTCCTCCAGGTCCTGGCCTCGTCCCCATCCCCATCGCAGGCTGAGGAGGCCGTGCTGTGCTGCTCCCCCTTCCCTCCCTCCTTGGCCCCCTTCCCCAGCAGCAGAACTCCCAGATGTGGCCGCCCGCCCCCGAGTCTTTCTGGGGCCCGTTCTGGACTCCAAACCTTCCTCTGTGAATATTTTGCTGTACAAGTCTCTGCGTCTTGATCCAATTTCTGTGATTTATATTTTCCATAATTCTCTCTGGTCAGGATTTTCAGATTTACGACCCGCATGCGCTCTGCCGTCCTGCGTTCTGGAGAAGGCCGTGTGTGTCTTCCCCGCCTGCTGTGAGCTGGGAGTGTGCTCTCCTGCACTGCCCCCACCAGGGCCTGGGGTGCCCCTCACACGGGAGCCGCTCCCGCCTGCCTCCACCTTTCTGGGGGGTGGCAAAGTCTTCCTTGCAGCTCTGCCCTCCTCCCTCACCCCCTCCTGAGGCAAAGTTCCTGTGTCCCCAGTGGATTGACAGCTGGCACAGAGGGACGGGGTCTGGGGCTGGGGGTGTGGCCTGCAGATCCCTGCTGCACAAAGACCCCAGGGAAGTGGAGAGCGGAGGGTCCTACAGGCTCAGGCGGGGATGGGGCCTGCGTTTTAGAGGGAAAAGCCGTGGGCAGCATCTGATGGGCATCCAGGCACCACCCTGGCCATAGTAACAGGTGGTACATGCTGGCCAGTGCCCTCCTGAGCTGGCCCCGCGGATGGCCAGGACGCTGTGCCCTTGGCTAGCCCCTACCCACATCCCCCCCGTGTCCCCCAGGGCCCCCCACGCAGAAGCAAGTACACACTGTGGAAGGGGGTCTGCGGCTTTATTCACAGGCCCCAGGGGATAGAGGCAGCAAGGACAGAGATGTGAGGGATGCCCTGGGATGGCCTTTTCACCCCCAGGATTGTCAGGGAGCCCCTGACAGGACTGTGGGGGCTGGAGGATGTGGAGTCCCACGGGCGGCCCTGGTGGGCACGAGGGCGGAGGGTCTCTGCCTCGAGGGGCCTTTCTGTCCTCTCTACTTCCAGCGCCCGCCGACTTTGCCCTTGGCTGGGGTCCCAGCCTTCTTGCTGCTGCAAATGGGAAGCAAGCGATCCTTGAGGGTCAGGACCTCTGGCCGTGCCCCTCCTGGTCCTCCACTCTGGGTGGACGCTCAGCCTGACCCCACGCTGCTCTCCGGGCACAGGCCCGGCCCAAGCTCTCAGTGCACACCCAGCTTCAGTCCAGGCAGTGCCCACTCACCTGTGCCTGGCGGGCCTAGGTCATTAGTGTGGTTAGGGGGCTGGCACGTGAGCCCAGGGCACCCTCCCTTTGTCCTTCCTTCCTTGCCTGAGGTACCACTGCAGACAGACCCCGAGCTTGGGAAGACTGTCTTGGCAGATAATGATAATCCTTTCACTTGGCCTCGAAAGAGCCCTTGGCCCTCCAGACGGTGGCCTCTGAGGGGTGGTGGTCCCAGGAACCTGCCCCGTTTGTCTGAGGCCTTCACGTGGCCGAGAGCCAGGAGGAGCTGGGTTCGGGTGAGGGATGGAGGCAGGAGGAGGACAGGAGTGCTCTGGCCCACGAGGCCAGCCCCTTTCAGACGCGGCTGCTCAGCAGGACGCCTGGCTGGCAAAGGCCGTGCCCTCACACACGTTCCTGAGCATCCTCAGCACATGCACACGTGCACACACGCAGGCACATGCACACCACGCCGACTGCCCGCCCTCAGAGGGGCCTGCAACGACCCCTGATGGCACAACAGGGAGACGGTGAGGTCGCGTGCACCAGGGAGGAGCCTGCCCTGGGCGCCATAGGGAAGCCAGGGCTACAGGAGGAGGGAGAAGAATCCCAGAAAACATTGAAACTCCAAGTAGCCCCCAAACACCGCGATCCTTGGAGAAATGGAACTGGCTGCGCAGCTGGGCTCGGTGACAGGATCCCCAGTGTGGCGTTGCCGGGGGCACCCTGGGTGCAGCCCTGTGTGGGTGGTCAAGTGGCTGTGCCAAGGGATCCCACAGCTCCCCGGGACACGATTTTATGGACGAGGCATTACCATCCTGAGGAGTCCATGATTTTGCCCAGCGTCACAGAGGGGCTGGTGACGAAGCCCTGGCTGCTTAACTTCCTGTCCAACCTCCTCTTGGAGGGTGGGACACTGGCAGATACCCCAGGGCCCAGGTTGGCTACACCAAAGGCCACCGAAGCAGCCCCTTCTAGGGGTCCCCTGGCTGCCCTCTCCCTGCAGCCAGTGCCAGACTCGGGGCGAGGGCGTGACAAGCAAGCCCCATTGGGTTCCCTCCTCCTGACTCTGCCATTCCCCAGGGCTCCCCTGCATGCAGGAGAGGGAGGAGGCTCCGGGTCCCTGGCCACAGGCCTGTGCATGCTGGCCTGGGTGGCCTGACCGGGTTAGTCTAGTTACTGCCCGCCCAGGCCAGCCACCACCGGCCCTTGTTAGGGACTGGCGACAGCGGCCGACCGGGAGGGCCCCTGTGCCCAGCGCGGAGTGAGGACAACAGGGCTACTCACTGCTTCTGGGCCTGGTCGATGCGGCTTCTGAGCGTGGTGATCTGTGAACAACATGAGTGACTCACTGCGACGACCCAAGAGCCAGGCCTGCGTGTACTGGGTGAAGGCCCGTCTCCACCGCAGGGTGGGCTGGGCTGAGCGACCCAGGGCTGCTGGGCCCCCACGAGGGCTCCTCGGCTCCCTTACTGTCTCCTGGCTCCTTGTGCAGGGGGACGCTGTCCCTTGGCCCTCGGGCTCGTGCCTGGACTTACTCTCGCCAACCTGTACTGGCCTGGACTGCCACACACAGCAGCCCGTAGCTGGCCACTTACCTTCAGCCTGCGGCAGGATGTGGGGCAGGGGGCACGGAGCATGGATGAGGGGGTGGGGAGGGTGCAGGTGAGGCCTGCAGACCCCTCCTTCCCAGCTCCAGCTCCCTTCAACTGCTGAGCTCTGAGCTCCTGGGCCAGCCGCTTCTGCCCTCCTGCCTGCACCCGGGGGCACTCCGTGGCCGCTGCTGGCTTGAGGCGGAGCTCCTGGGAAGGCGGGGGCCCTTCCTCGCTTGCCAACAGGGCAGCGGCCACCGGGAAGCCCCCAGCTGCAGGCACAAGGGGAGAGCGGGGGCAGGAGGAAGGCTCCAGGCCCCCTGCCACCGACATCCTGAGCGACCCAGGTTTTTGCCATGCGAGAGGTTCACCTCACCGTGCAGCGCACACCCACGGGCCTGGCCCAGGGCGGACCCGGCTACTTACAACTTGGCCAGCATCTGCACTCTGGCCCGGACATTCATGATCTAGAAAGACCAAGATGGTTACAAGACTGAATGGGCAGCTGAAGCATCAAAGCTGTGGGCTAGCTTGGCCTGGTGATGGCCCTCCAGGCTCTGCAGTCCCTAGGGACCCGCTGTGGCCGCATCTATCCAGAGCCAGTGTGGGTCCCTGACTCAGCTCTGGGAACACAGCCTGGGTCCTGTGCAGTGAAGCCCATCTCAGGGCCAGCCCCTGTGGGAGAGCCCCGAGGGTGAAGTCAGGGCTGTCTCCCATGCCTAGACCCCCTCCTGGGGACAGCTCTGGGAGGGAGTGTAATCATCCTGCTTCTGTGGGAGGGGAGCTCGCGGAAACTCGGGTGGAACAGGTGGCGTGCGCAGAGCCCCTGAGAAGGTGCTCGGATTTGCCTGGCTGGCTTGGACGGGTCGTCCCGCACCCCTGCACCCGAGTGGAGCACAGGCCCCGTGGGCAAGCTGCTCTCCCCTGGGGCCTCTGGCGGTGCTGGAGGGTGGACATCGTGTCCTTGATGGTGATGCTGGAGTGTCTACATTTGCCCCAAGCACACAGGTCATCCACGGCTGCGTCCCTCGCCCCTGGAGCCCACACGGGTGTTTGGGAGGGTGGGAAGCAGCTCGGCCTCCATCCTAGCTCCCACACTGCACCCCAGTCCCTGAGGCCACCCAGGCAGGCTGCCTTCCCCAGCCCCAGCTTTGCCTGCAGCGATAACGCCTGCAAGGGATGGGGGCTCTGCTCCGTCCCAGAGCGGCACAGTCTCAGGCCCCCTTTTCCAGCCGCAGGGTGCAGCGTGTCACCCCTCTCTGCCTGCCCTGAGGAAGCAGATGTCTGGGGCCCTGGTGGAAGCCAGAGCCTGGGTTTGCGGAGGAGGCTCTGTGGAGAGGACGCCCCACACCGCACGGCCTCAGTGCCCCAGGGCTGAGCTCGGTGATGATGGGGACTTTCTTTAAGCTTAAAGAGGTTCAGAAAATGAACCCTGAGTCCACTCGGCCATGGCTGCTCTGCCATGACAGTCCTCATGGCAGGGGTGACCAAGGCCGCCCACAGGGGTCAGGTTCATCGCTCAGGGTGCTGCGTGGCCAGCCAGGAGGACGGGCTCTGGCCACAGTCCCCATCAGGAGAGCAGCCTCAGCCAGGGGTCAGTGGCGACAGGCTGTGTGGGCCTCTCAGGGCCCAGGGCCCTGTGATGGGCAGGTCCAGAGTTTGCTCGGGACGCAGGGAGTGGTTGCTCTGGCTGGTGGGTGAAAGCTGCTAGGGCCCCAGGGCCGGAGGTGCCAGGACTCACATCATATTTCTGGCGTTTCAACTTCTCCCCATACTCGAACTTGTCGGTCTCCAGCTGGTGCAGGGTCTCCCAGAGCTCCTTAGCTTTGTCCCTGGGGCAGAGGAAGGGGTGAGGCTTTGTTGAATAGGCCCCAAAGGCAGGGCCGGGGCCCTGGAGTCCTCCTCCAGCCACTGAGGAGCACAGTCCTTGGCGGCTTGGGGAGCAGTCGGCAGCCCCGCAGCAGCCACCCCTCACCTCAGTTTATCTTCACTGAGGTGGTCAATGTTGAGCGGCTTGCGTCTCTCAGCAAGAATCTTCTTCTTCATTTCGCGGGCCGTCTGCTTCTTGCCTCTCTTCTGGTCAGCCTGGAGGGGACAAGTCCAAGGAGAGGGGCCTGGTTTCAGGAGGGCGCAGGGCGCAGCCCACACTGAAGGCTGCCACCATGCTCCCAGCAGCGGCACTCACCTTGGCCAGGTAGCTGCTGTAGTTGGCTCCCATGGAAGACAGAGCTTTCTTCTTCTTCAGGTCGTCCTCTGCCCTCCTCTTGGCATCCTCCTCCTCTCTTCTGGCCTTTTCCTCCTGTGGAGACCCCATCCCCAACACGCTCAGGGATGGAGAGAGGGCTGTGCTTTCTGGGCAGGCTTTAGGGACCCACCCTGGGCTTAGAACTCTCTGGAAGGACCCACCCTGGGCTTAGAACTATCTGGAAGGAAGCTCCAGGTCTTGGCCAGGATTTGTTGTCTTGCAAGGGGTTCTGTAGGGCGTGGGGGACTTAGCCAGTGGCTCTGATCATTGGCCAATGACAATGGGAACCCCAGGAGGAGGAAGGCCTCAGTCCCCTGCATTTCTCTGGGCCTGGGGTTCATTCGCTGATGAGACAGCGGTAGGGATGGTGCCCTCCTCACCGCCAGTCTGTTCTGGCGCTCCCTCTCCTTCTCTGCACGAATCCTCTGCTGCTCCGCTCTCTCCGCACGGCGCTTCTCCTGCGGCCAGAGAAGTGCGTCTGCTTAGCCCTGTCCCCAGGTCCTCCGAGGGTGTCCACCAGCCCCTGCTGCAACCTGAACTGCCCCACTCACAATTCTCTCCTTGAGGGCGACCAGCTCCTCCTCCTCCTTCTTCCGGGCTTCAAAGTGGCTGTCGATGAGGGCCTGGAGCTCCATTAGGTCTTTGTTCTGACGCTTCTTCTGGATGTCCTGTGGGCAGGGGCAGTGGGCGTCAGCCCCACCCCTCTCTCCAACCACTGCCCTGCCTGGCCTGCCTTGCAGCAAGAGGTCCCTTCCCTTGCCCCAGCAGATAAGCCCTGAATCCCTTGGCCACTATGAAAATGGCAAGTGGCAAGGAATGTTTTGCCTTCTCCACATTGCCACGGCTGCTATCCTCATAGAGGCCAAGGGTGGCCTGATTTCTGAGCCACAGAGCAGGGATGGTGCCCAGCCATAAGGTCCTCAGCATCCTTAGGATGAACTGGCCCTGACTTGGCTCTGTCATCATCCTCAGAGATGCCCTGCATGGGCCTGGCAGAGAGAAGACTGCTGAGTGAGAGAAATTATTGGATAAATAGAGAGGCATGTGAACAGATGAACTGATGGATGGGTGGATGAGTGAGAGAGGATGGAGATACATGATTGGGTGGATGGATGAATGGATGGATAGGTAGATGGGCAGAGGGATGGATATGTGGATTAATGGTAGAGGATGTGTGGATGGTGGGTGAGTGGCTGGGTGGGTGGATAGATGGGCGGGTGGATGGGAGGATGAATGGGTG